TTGTGCTGCTGGATCTTCATCAACCTCTCCTTCCCCCTTGCTGGATCAAGAAGGAGGAGACGTCATCTGCTCCGTACGTGTGTTGAACGCGGAGGTGTTGTCCGTTCGGCACTTGGTCATCGGTGATTTGGATCACGACGAGTACGACTCCATCATCCCCGTTCTCTTGAACGCTTCCGCTCGCGATCAACAAAGGTATGTAGAAGCACCCCTAACACTCGTTGCTTAGATGAACTCATAGATGGATCTTGGTGAAACCGTAGTAAATTTTTTATTTTCTGCAATGTTCCCCAACAATTCTATCGTCCTATATATATCAATCTTTACCACCGGACCATTTCGGAGCTCCTCGTCATGTCTGTGATCTCATCTGGACCTCCGAACAACATTCAGTCATCAACTCACATAACTCATACAATACTATATCGTCAATGAACGTTAAGCATGCGGACCCTACGGGTTCGAGAACTATGTATGCATGACCGAGACACCTCTCCGGGAAATAACCAATAGCAGAACCTGGATGCCCATATTGGTTCCTACATATTCTACGAAGATCTTTATCGGTCAAACCTTATGACAACATACGTAATTCCCTTTGTCTGTTGGTATGTTACTTGCCCAAGATTCAATCATCGGTATCTTCATACCTAGTTCAATCTCGTTACCGACAAGTCTCTTTACTCGCTCCATAATACATCATCTCGTAACTAACTCCTTAGTCATTTTGCTTGCAAGCTTCTTGTTATGAGTATTACCGAGAGGGCCCAGAGATACCTCTCCGATATACGGAGTGACAAATCCCAATCTCAATCCATGTCAACTCAACAGACACCTTTGGAGATACCTGTAGAGCATCTTTATGATCACCCAATTACGTTGTGACGTTTGATAGCACACAAGGCATTCCTATGGTATCCGGGAGTTGCATGATCTCATGGTCGAAGGAACATGTATTTGACATTAAGAAAGCAGTAGCAATAAACTGAACGATCATATGCTAAGCTAATGGATGAGTCTTGTCCATCACATCATTCTCCTAATGATGTGATCCCGTTATCAAATGACAACACATGTCCATGGTTAGGAAACCTTAACCATCTGTGATCAACGAGCTAATCTAGTAGAGGCCTACTAGGGACACGATATTTGTTTGTGTATTCACACATGTATTTAAGTTTCCGATCAATACAATTCTAGCATGAATAATAAACCTTTATCATGAATAAGGGAATATAAAATAACAACTTTATTATTGCCTCTAGGGCATATTTCCTTCAAGGTGTGAAAACAACACAAAATGAAGGGTAAATTTGTGAGCTCCAAGCTATAACAGGAGCAAACTTGCTAAGCCTCGTGTTGTAATTAATTTCTGGACAGCTTGCATGGGCACTTGCACAACTTTTGACTCAAGACCTCAAATGATGCACCTTTTTTAATGAAAGCTGACTTTAAATACCATCTTTTCCAGCCTCTAAAACATGATAGACCCTTCTAGGTTTAGGTGGAAAATTGCAACTAAAAATTTGATGTGTCATTTCTTCCAAAATGGGCAGCGGAAGCTTCCCAACTAAGATAATGGTTTTTCCCATGTCTTCCTTTGGCTGCTCTAGTAGTTTAACATTTGTGCTAGCATGAATCTCACTCTTTGATGCCTTGGTCATGAGCTGGTCCACATCAGCTCCTCGGTGGCTCCTCGGTGGCTGCGAACGCCACTCCAGCGCACCTCGCCGTGGCAGCCTCCGTCGTGATCTAAATTTTACATCGTTCGTTGGAGTTGGAGGTTTTATTGTGATGTAAATTTTACATCATTTGTTGTAGTTGGAGATTTTTTGTGATGTAAAAACCTTTTTTTGTGATGTAAATTTTACTCGAAGCACAATTTGGTGATGTATTTTACCTCATCTATTGGAGATGCTCTTAGATTTACTCATTTCAACGATGATTAATTCCGAACGGAGGTTATACATACTTTGTGTTTGGTCAACTTTGTGAGTTATAATAAGGCATTTCAATTTGATCTACTAATCTTGCTATAAAGAGCTAGGATATTGACATGAATGCTAATTCTTGAGAGCGAATGAAATTACTTTTTTGTCCAGAAAAAGGACAAGTCCATCTCATGTGAAGTAATTGATGATGGTCCTAAGAAGGTTTTTCCTGTCCACCAAGGCACCAACCCTAAACACGTACGACATAAGTTTGCATTGTCAAAATGTTGCCCTAGTTTAGCAAATCAAGCATGACAATTTCGCTTGCTCTCACAAGAGAAAACACAACGGAAATCATCCATTGATAAATACCTCTTTTTTTCGACAGCATCCATTGATAAATATCATGTGAAGTATGATTGCATATCTCAATTTCAAGGTATGAGATTCCTATCCAGGGTTGCCGCCCGGTATTGATAAATATCTTAGTACAATTAGAAATTATACTTTTTTTGGTAGGGACCTAAAATTGAACTAACAATATAGCAAAAGCAGATATCGCAATAATCTAAAATGTTTAATAATTTCTTTGCATGCAATCCTAAAAAAAATGCATGCCATAGATAGTCATGTTTTTTCTTTGTAAAGATTCACATGTTTTTAGGTGAAGATTCACATGTTTATAGCTTAAAGTGAACCCGCACCTTTTTTTTTGCAAGAATTTACGAGCAGCGCTACATGTTGATTGGGTGATGATCCGAAAAGACCGATCGCTTCGTTGTTGGATGGAGCATATAATAGCCGTCTGATTGCCATGTGATCTTTTTTTTAACACGATTGCCATGTGAGCTTTGCTACAACTACATAGCGACTTACAAAGGAAAGGCCTCCGTAATTAGTTGGCAGGTTTTGTTTGGTTTTCATTAGGCGCACAGGCCCACCCTGAAAATTAGAGGGGGGACAATTTAGATGGTGTTTGGTTCTCTAGTCTTAGGACTTTTTCTAGTCTCTAGAATTTTTTGAAAAAGACTCTCATGGAGGTGCTTCTAAGAACTTTTAGCAAAAAGTCTTAAAAAAATCCCTCCATGTTTGGTTTGCTAGGGACTTTTTTTAGTTCCAACATAAAAAAGTCCCTGAAACCAAACACCTCCTTAGTTTTTTCATGGTACTACGTGTCTCATTCATATCATAAAGATTATAGTATAAGTCACATAAAGACCGACATGACAAAAATGAAAAAGATAGCAGAACGTCCCTGAGCTGGACACCAACGCCTGTCACCTGCCTCTGGCACCACCACAGCAGCCACCGAAAGAAAAAAAATGACGGATCATCTCCTCAACCGAACTCGACGTGGCCCCATCACTGATATGCAGCTTTGCGGACCTCCAAGGTGGCTCGCCAAAGGCAAAGCCATTATCGTTGAACGAATCAGACCGGGGCAACACCCCGGACACGCCATCAAACTTCAGATCTGATACCTCCACAGTTTAGTTAGGGGAGGAGGGTAATTAGGTAGGTTACGTACAAAGCTTTCGTAGGTCTAGCATCCTTGGTTAGTCTTTGTAACAAGGTTAGTGTTGCGCTCGTTCGCTGCAACAGGAGCCTTGTCGTAGCATCCCCAAACCGTTCCGTTCCTTCTGAAACAAGACCCCTGTTACAGGAAAAAAATTGTGCTGCTGCACCCCGGTCCGACAAAGCATGGCTAGCCTTTTGCAACAAGGGTAATGTTGCCCTCGGGCCCTTTGCAATAAGAGGCTTGTTGCAATCACCCCAAAACCCCCCCTTTGTTGCTGCTAGGAAAACAGAGTCGGAGTGGCCTCCATCGACGGGGACATGTGTCTTCGTCATCGTCGCGGAGATTTATGTCGGTCGTCACCACTGCAGGAACCAGCCGCCGATGTGTGTCGTATGCATTGGTCATCGCCGCTGCGGATCCAGCCACCGCTGCAGGTCGAGGAGCTGTGTTGCAGACACTGTGGATCCAGCCGCGACCGCCTTCCTTACCCTAGCCACTCTGCAACAGACTAACTGACTGTTGTGCTTGAAAGATTTGCAACAAGGATGGTGTTGCAAAACTCGTTTTGGGTCGGGGTTGTTGCGGGTCGTCGGATCAGATTCTGATTTGGGGTCCCGAGGCGGTCGACCCGCGCAAAGTCATCAATCGGGCGATTGTGCGCGCAACGTCATCAATCAACTGAGCGGTCTTCTTCTCTCACCTCAATAAATTATACTCCCTCCGTTCCTAAATACTTGTCTTTCTAGGCATTTCAACAAGTAACTACATACGAAGCAAAATAAATGAATCTATACTCTAAAATATGTCTACATACATCCGTATGTAGTAGTCATTTGAAATGTCTAGAAAGACAAATATTTAGGAACGGAGGGAGTATATTTTATTCTCCTCCAAGAAATTCACGAATGAACACGGCATGGCATATGTGGTGAGCACCCATGAAACAACAAAAGGAAACTCTTTGTCCAAACAAAAAACAAAAGGAAATTCCGAAATGAACATATAGGACAGGATACCATCCTCCATGTGCACCCCAATAATTGCTGTTCCACCACGCCAAAACACCACCTCGTCTCACCGACTGACCGCGTGGACCCACACATCATGTTCATTCCCCTCCAGAGCTAAACGCACCTGTCTCCCAATTGGCCGGACGCGCCGTGCCGTTACCCCCGAACCCACCTGTCAGTGAGGGGTCCTGCCCCTCACAGTCTGGAACGCTCCGCGTGCCACCGACGTCCGGGCCCATCTGGCCCACACGTCGGTTCCGTGCGCGCGGGTATAAACCCCACCGCTGCTGCTGCGGCGACGACTTCCTTCCCACCTCGCCGCAAACCACCGCTTCGGTTTCTGCGGCCACCACCTCCGCACACCCCCGGCTATCGCGGCATCGAGGGAGGGTGCTTGCCGTCGCGCCGCCGACGCGTAGCGCGGTGTGAATGAATGGTGCGGCCTCTTGGCCTTCTCGTGGATCTGAGCTGTTCCTGCCGGGGTGGTGAGGAGTAGACGGACGGACGGACGGACGGACGGACCGACGGGAGGTTCCCGAAATGGCGGTTTCGGCCAAGGAGCGCAAGCTGAGCAGGCTCGGCAGTGGTAAGGCGGCAAACGGAGGAGGAGGAGGAGGCGGGAGCTTCGGCGCGAGGGGTGGTCACCGGTCGCCTGCGGCGGGGGGACGGCGGCGGCTGTTCGCGGTGTTCTTCGCGTTCCTCTGCGCCGGCGCGGTCGTCTTCGTCGGGGTGCACGCCATTGGAGGTGAGCCGCTTCCCCTGCCCCTGGAATCTGGAGCCCGCGTGGGCCAAATCGGTTTGGGATTAGGTAGGATAGTAGAATTATTTATTTTCTCACGGGAATCTCGTGGCAGAGGGTGGTGGGATCATTTCAAATGATTTTGACAGAAAGAACACACAAAAAGAACATTTTTTACATGCGAAATTTTGTTTGGGTTCGATGTTCATCGTCTGGATGGTGAAAAATGGAAGTTGGACTGTTTCTCGCGAGGTTGCCGTTAGATCTGATTGGAGTCCTACCATTCACGGGAAAAATTGCAGTTCTTATCACTCGACTCTTGCCTCGATTATAGCAGCTTGCCGTTTCTGAATTGTAACGCTAGCCATCCAGTCAGTCACATGCTGCTACCTTTTGACTGATTGATCCCAGAATAGAACGCAAATGCCTCACGTCGTCACATGAAGAATTTAGGCACGCTAAATCCGTTTGGCTATTTCTTCCTGTGATTGCTAATTGATCTCGTCTTCTTGTGATGGATGCAGCGTCCTTCCGGCCGGTGCTCTTGACGGCCTGGCCGTCGGCGACCCTGAACGCCCTCTCCTCGGAGCGCCGGGTGCAGCAAGCTGGAGGCAACGGTGCCGGCACCATTTCACCGTCTGTCCAAATCCGGCATGCTGTCGCTCTGCCGGACCATCTTCTCGTAATCCTCGGTGACGGATCATTGCTGCCAGCTCCCGGGCACTTCGAGTGCCTGTACTCCACTGCCAACTCAACGCAGCTGCGTCGTCGTCCCCTCTCAGTTGCTGCCTTGCCAGATGGACCAAGCCTCGTCCATTGCCCTGCCGGACCGTCTGGGATGGCTGTGTCCCTGTCGCTGTCCCAGTCACCTCCGGTGACACCATTCCAATGGGATCAGCTCGTGTACACCGCACTTCTTGACAGCCGGGACAACTCCACCGTTGTGTTTGCCAAAGGGATGAACCTCCGTCCAGGCCGTCTCGGTGTGCCATCACGGTATGAGTGTGTCTTTGGCCGGGACCTGTCAAAGCCGAAGCTCGTTGTCACCTCCCCTGTGGTTTCTGCTGCACAAGAGACATTCCGGTGTGTGACACCTGTCCGCATTCGCCGGTACCTCAGGATGACAGCTGATGGAAACATCAACAGAAACAGTGATGGCAAGCCTATGCTGGTCTCCATCAGGACTAAGGGCCGGGGGAGCTCGACACTCCCCTCAATCGCGCAACCAGAGCCACTTCCAAGGTATAACCGGCATCGGCATACAAGACATCGGCAGCAGAAGGCACACTCAATGTGTGTGTGCACCATGCTGCGCAACCAAGCACGGTTCTTGCGGGAATGGATCATGTACCACTCCCATATCGGAGTGCAACGGTGGTTCATCTATGACAACAACAGTGATGATGGCATCGAGGAAGTCCTCGGTTCCATGGATCCATCCGCATACAATGCAACACGCCACTTGTGGCCTTGGATGAAATCTCAGGAGGCTGGATTTGCACATTGTGCACTCAGGGCGCGGGAGAGCTGCGAGTGGGTGGGGTTCATCGACATCGATGAGTTCCTGCACTTCCCTGGCAACCAAACTCTACAAGATGTCCTCCGGAATTACTCAAGCAGGCCAAGGATTGGTGAACTCAGGACTGCATGCCACAGCTTTGGTCCATCAGGCCGGACTAAGATTCCTAAGAAAGGCGTCACAACAGGCTACACCTGCCGGCTGGCTGCGCCGGAGCGGCACAAGTCAATTGTCAGGCCAGATGCATTGAATCCATCACTGATCAACGTGGTGCACCACTTCCATCTGAAGGAAGGGATGAAGTATGCGAATGTTGGCCAGGGAGTGATGCTGATCAATCACTACAAATACCAAGTCTGGGAGGTGTTCAAAGAAAAGTTTGCTGGCCGCGTGGCGACCTATGTTGCCGATTGGCAGGACGAGGAGAATGTTGGATCCAGGGACAGGGCGCCAGGTCTAGGGACCAAACCAGTGGAACCGGAGGATTGGCCGCGTCGGTTCTGTGAAGTATATGACACTGGTTTGAAAGATTTTGTGCACAAAGAATTCACAGACCCACAGACTGGAAGTCTTCCATGGTAGATGGGTAAGCACGGGATTTGATCCACACAACACACGGTACATGACATGGAGAGAAAAACAGATAACGAAAGAAGAAACACGAAATTAAGTTAGGTGGTAGAGCGTCGCTATATTTTTAGAATTTGTTGTTAGGTTTGCTGTCCTTAATTTAGAAGCATCATTTTTTTCTTTTCACTGATCATACTGTCTAAGAGAGAAATGATTCTTTTGTAGATACAGGTAAGTAAACAGTTCACTGTTGAAAGAGAGAATGCATAGAATGACTTTGTTTCCCTGAGTTTTTTTGTCTAATCTTACTGTGGGTGCGAGCAACTAAAATTATAGTGCTTAATTTGTTCATCCCCAATCTGAAATCTGTCGCAAATTCCTTATGGAATGATGCCGGCAAAGATGGTGCACCTTGCTTGATGTAATACTGAAAGAATATTAGACTTTTCTGGGGAAAAATGACCTATGCCGCCTGCTTTCTTTTACTTTCTATATAGTACATGATGGCAACCATATGCTTAGCATCTTTTAGATGTAACCCGTAGTTGCTTTGGGAAAGTGCCATTCTCTATCAAACCAGCTATTCTCCTCTTGCACAAATAGAGAAATCAAATCTAACGCAGCTGGATCCACATCAAGATCACTGTCATCACGAGCTTTTTTCCGGCAGATCACTCTCACAATCATTGCGTTCTTCTCCATCTTTCTTTACTGAGGTTTGGTTACTTCACTGAGGTTTCAGAGGTTTGGTTACCTGCTTACTTAACCAGTTAACCTTGCACATAGACAAGCACACTCTAGTCAAGACCTAGGCTTCTTTTCCTCTTTGAAATGTACTGCCTTCTTACTTTATTCATTTATCATCATTTAAAATTTCTTGAAAGGATGGCCTTATCTTCTCTCCAACGGTTCCAGTTGTGTATTATTCTACCACTACTACTATCCCTATATGTTTGTTCACAGGACAGGTTCCTAATAGTTAAAAGTCAAAGCAAGGTATGAAGCAGACCAAAACCTTTTTTCTATTGCCTAATCTCCACCCCCCAAACGAGCCAATTGTTGCCATATGTTAGTTTAGCTGTGCTAATCAAGGAGAGCTCTGGACAAGAACCCAAGAGCTGGCTGGCGAGTGTGGATTGGTTTGGTGCCTTCTGGGGATGCTGCCGTGCCGTCTGGTGGTGCTGAGGATGAGTAAACTACACATTTTGAGCGGCGATTTGGCGTCTTGGTGCTGGTGCGCCGTCGGTTTACAATGCTACAACGTCTACATGTATAATAATAAATAACAACAGTATTTTGGATGCAGTGCATGTATGTAGACATGTGAGCTGCCGTCCATGATGAGCTGAATACTGTTCCTGGGTGGCAGCTTGGATGGTTCCTGAGTTGGGCAGCAGTGCCTGAATTTCTGGCTGGTATGCTGGCACAGCGCACCATATACCTTTGCTTGTCTCTCCGGCACAGCAAGGTTGTGCTCTCTGCAAATTGGCGCAGAGGAGCTCATCATGAGGTTTACTGCTGGGTTCCACACGAATTGTACTTGTTCTGCGTGCTGCAACTGCGGAGACAGTTACAAGGGTGATTTAACTGCCAAACAATTCGATTATTGTACCACTTGGCAAATCCGAAATACAGTTGTTCATTTATGTCCTCACCAGAATGTTTTTCTGCCATGGCTTTCTTTTCCTCCCGTCGCTTGAAACTTTGAGTAGCTGACAAACCATGATATGCACAGAGCGGCTGTTTCTCTTGCCCTTTCTTCAGTTTGCCTTCTGAATTCGTTTCAAAAAAAAAAAGTTTGCCTTCTGAATACACTCTGTGCTCCTAAATGTAAGACGAAACTGCGAAAACGTCTTATATTTAAAAACAGAGATAGTGCATAATAAAAGAAATGCAACATGAAAAATACTCAAATACAGGTGCAGTGGTGGTACTGATGTTAGGCGGTCGGTCGGATGCGGAGCTGCTGTCTGCTGACGCAAAACTCCAGAAGCAATCTTCCGCTGCAGTTCTGGAGCATTCGACCGTTCTGCAAGTAAACGCCAGCCGCATGCACGGTCGCCAACTCGACGAATCGCCAGAAATCGAAGCAGAAGAAGGAGGGCAGTCGCAATCATACGCCTAATAATACCAAGCGAAAACCCCGCGTGGCAATGGACGCGTTCGTGTTTCTTCTCCCTTCTCGTCGTTTCCTTCACGTCCTTTTTTTTCCCCTCACTTGTTATTATCACCAGCACGCGTTAAAACGTGGAATAATCCCTTGCCTAATCCCTCGCCTTTTCTTTTTCCTGAAAGAGCGAATTGAAAAGCGTCAGCTGTAACTTTGCCGACACTAAAGCCAATACCAACTGTCATTAGTCCGTCTTGCCTCCATGTGAAAATGTTCACCCGCTCAGTTTAGCTTATACTACTCCTTCCGTTTAAGTGTGTAAGTCATCTTACAAAAATTAAAGAATCCCAAAACACTTAGGCGCGGTGCATTTACTTCTACCTTGTTTCTTTTTTCTTGACATATCAACCAATAAGAGATGAGGGGTGTGCATGCTTTTAATGACTTGAGACTACCAAACACGACATGCAGTGGTTAGTTCATTGCATGCAATGCTATTAATTAGCAAATAAACATTAAGATCTCTCGTTTTCCCCTCCTCCTTGGTCACGGTGCACAATCTAAGATGACTTACTCACCTAGACGGAGTGAGTAGTAATAATTGTTTTTTAGGCAAACTATAATTGGTTTGAATGATGTGGTAATATCCCATAGTGTATGAAGATAAACCTTTGCGGATGATGTGCTGCTAGTTTGACGACAGTCGGACCGGGGTAAATAGAAAGTTAGAATTATGAAGATAAACTTTGGAATCAAAAGGGTTTGGGCTTAGTAGAACTAAAACTGAGTACATGATGTGCGATTTCAGTATTACTAGGCACGAGGAGGAGGAGGTTAGCATTGATGGGCATGTGGTGCCTCAGAAGGACACCTTTCGATATTTGAGGTCAATGCTGCAGAAGGATGGGGGTATTGATGAAGATGTGAACCATTTAATCAAAGCCGGATGGACGGAGTGACGCCAAACTTCTGGCATTCTCTGTGATAAGAGAGTGCTACAAAAGCTAAAAGATAAGTCCTACTGGACGGCGGTTCGACCCGCAATGTTGTATGGCGCTAAGTGTTGGCCGACTAAAAGGCGACATGTTCAACAGTTAGGTGTGGCGGAGATGCGTATGTTGAGATGGATGTGTGGCCACACGAGGAAGGATCGAGTCCGGAATGATGATATACGAGATCGACTTGGGTAGCACCAATTGAAGAGAAGCTTGTTCAACACCGCCTGAGATGGTTTGGGCATATTCAACGCATGCCTCCAGAAGCTCCAGTGCATAGCGGACGGCTAAAGCGTTCGGAGAATGTCAAAAGAGGTCGGGGGTAGACCGAATTTGACATGGGAGAGTCCGTAAAAAGAGATCTGAAGGATTGAAGCATCACCAAAAAACTAGCTATGGATAGGGTGCATGGAAGCTTGCTGTTCATATGTCCGAACCATGAGTTGGTCGTGAGATTTTATGGGTTTCACCTCTAGTCTATTCCAACTTGTTTAGGACTAAAGACTCATGAGATCTTATGGGTTTCACCTCTAGTCTATTCCAACTTGTTTAGGACTAAAGACTTTGTTGTTGTTGTATAATTGGTTTGAACGATCATGCTTCTTGCTTCTGGAGGATTTCTTTTCTTTTTGGAGACAAGCTTCTGGAGGAAGGACCCTTTGTAGTTGCAGTTGCAGGACTCTTAGACCGCTGAATCTGGCCCATTAGGTCACCCTATGGGCCAACTATAAATCAGCTCAGTGGTGAGTTTCCTCTAAGCTGCACATTGCAACTTCCCTTAACCAGTAATAATATGTACATAAAGTTCAGAATGCAGCTCTCAAAATAGAAATGGATGAAGAGATTACTACATGAAGTCTTTGCAACAGCAATCCATCAATTCTATTCCAATATACACATGGCGTTGAGCCATTGCAGGAAACTGGCAATTCTATCAGAATTACACACCAGAGAGATCACACATTCACACTCGGTGCTTTCAGATATACTCCCTCCCCTCTGCTCTTATATTATGGGACAAAGGGAGTAGTAGGTACATGACATTCATAACAGAGCTTCCGATCCTGAAGGTGCATGTTCACCTTACCTAGCCAAGTCCTCCATCCTCCTAAACGAATTAGGGATCCCCACAAAATAAGTTAAGTTCCTCCTCCAACCACAGAAATATATAACTGAAGTGCCATGATGAAATTCTTCGTCAGACAAAACATCGATAAACGTAGCTTCTTGGTTCATCTGAAAGAAGGAAACTCTCCCCCAGGAAGCTCCCAGTTGTCACGCCCATCATCGTCGGTGGTTCCCTCCTTCGACTCCTGCTCATCGTCAAATGGATATGGACCCTTGAAACGCCTGCCAGACCAAACTATTAGCACCAATTAAGCAATCAATAAGAAAAATGGTACAGTTGGAATGAACTCAAGGTGCTTCCGATCACTTATGTATAATCGTGTACTTTACAAACGTTAGACAGGCCCCTTGCACACTACAAAGTTTAGTTTAAATTTTGCTAACCCCTTGCACACTACAAAGTTTAGTTTAAATTTTGCTACACAATTCTTCAACGAATAATCGACTTGGAATCTAGTATAGGTTTCGTTTCTACGTACTGTAAACACATACTATCAGCATGAATTCATGATTAAAACTGACACCACAAATGACAGATACGAAGATGACAGTCCATAATCAATCCAAATAATGTGCACAGATACACAACTCTACATATATCATTTGAAATTCATGATCACTTCCATTCTGAACTACTCCCTCCGTTCCTAAATACAAGTCTTTTTAGAGATTTCAAATGGACTATCATATACGGATGTATATAGACATATTTTAGAGTGTAGATTCACTCATTTTGCTTCGTATGTAGTCACTTGTTGAAATCTCTACAAAGACCTATATTTAGGAACGGAGGGAGTAGTTTGTAGTACAGTACATAATACAGCTACCGTTGATTGGTTCAATTGCTACTCTGTAATACGTATATGTACGGTGGTCCCGCCCAAGGAAAACTCCATCCCCTCGATGGTCAGGCTATGTCAATTCGGGCCTCCCTCTACGCGGACGACGCAGCTATTTTCCTTGCCCCCATTAAGTCGGATGTTGAGTTCTTTGCCCGCACCCTAAAGAGTTTTGGGGAAGTCACTGGCTGGGTCACGAACTGTACCAAAAGCTTGGTTGCTCCTATTCGTTGTGAGAACCTGGACCTGGTGGACATCTTACACTCTTTCCCGGCCAACCGTACCTCCTTCCCAATGAAGTATTTGGGCCTACCTCTCTCGGTCAAGAAGTTGAAAAGAATCCACTATCAACTGCTTGAAGACAAGATCGCAGCCCAATTGGCACCGTGGATGGGTAAACACGTTGCCTCTCCAGGACGTGTTGTGTTGGTCAAATCCGTGCTTACGGCCATTGCTATCTATTATATGACGGCGCTGAACCTCCCGGTTGAGGTGATGAACAAGATTGATGCGCTCCGACGGGCATTCTTGTGGGCTGGATGTGACAAAGTCACTGGAGGAAAATGCAAGATTAATTGGGAGCAAGTGTGCAAGTCAAAACTTCATGGGGGCCTTGGCATTCTCAATCTGAAAAAGTTTGCATCTGCTCTGCGCATTTGTTGGCTCTGGGGTGAGTGGCTTACTCCGATCAAGCCTTGGGTGGGATTAGGGACGCCATGCGACCGACAGGATAGAGACATCTTTGCGGCCTCCACAAAAGTCGTCGTGGGCGATGGTACTCGTGCCATTTTTTGGGAGTCTGCTTGGCTTGATGGTTTGCGACCCAAGGACATTGCACCAAAATTTTTTGAGCTGTCACAAAGAAGAAATTGCTCGGTCCAGAAAGCGCTCCTCAACAATTTTTGGGTGTCTCAGGTGAAGACCTCTCAGGGCATGACTGTTGACCATCTTCATGAGTTCGTCAACCTATGGGAGAAGCTATCTCATGTTCAGCTAATACCCGACATGCCTGACTCCATCATTTGGAAGCTCACCAAGGATGGTCACTATTCCGCAACAACGGCTTACAGTGCGCAATTTCTCGGTTTAGTCGACTCGGACTTGCCTCAAATTGTTTGGACAACTTGGGCCCCCCCAAAATGCAAGTTTTTCGCTTGGCTAGTCATCAACAATAGAATCTGGACGGCAGACCGGCTTCAGAAGCGAGGGTGGCCTAATTGCAACATGTGCCCCCTGTGCAAGCAATCCAGGAATCGGCGGCTCATCTGCTTTTTAAATGCCGCTACACGGTTAGAGTATGGAACATGATTAAAGCGTGGCTTGGCCTTCATGACATTTACCCGCAGAACTGGGCCATGGTTGACACGGTGAAGAAGTGGTGGAGCGCCAACGCTTCCAACAGGACGCAATCTCGACGACCGCTTACCTGCCTTATGTTGCTCGTCTCATGGGAAATTTGGAAAGAGCGGAATGCTAGGGTATTTCGTAATGTCGCAGTGCCTGTTGGGGTTTTAGTAGTGTTAGACTATGTATAACTACTGTACCTATGTACGTATTGTAACACAACCATTATATATAATGAGATAAGCCACCCCTAGAGGGTTGTGCTGGTTCCCAAAACTTATTGTCTTACATGGTATCACGCTAGGTTACGATCGCTTCCGCTTCTAAACCCTAATACCCGCACCGCCGCCGCAGCCGCCGCCGCCTTCACCGCCGCCGCCGCGCCACCAATCGCGCCGCCGCCATGTCGAGCGCCGCCACCACCGGTTCCACTGCTGCGGGCTTCCTCCCGGCCTCTCTTGCGGCTCTGCTCAACCTCCCGCTCGATGCCGTCTCCGTTCCGGCTCCGATCGGGACAAGGAGCATCGGCTCCGTCTTCTCCACGCCGCCGGCGCCCTCGCTCGGGCGTGACCTCATTGTCCACACCGCGGCGGCGCCGTCCGCTGCGGATTCCGCAGGCGTCGTCCCGCCGCTCCTGCCGCGAGCGGATCACACCGCCCCGCTGGCGGGGTTGGCGGCGTCCGCCCCGGCCGCGGGCCTTGCGGCGTCCGCACCGGCCGCGAGCTTTGCGGCGCCCGCCCTGGCTGCGGTCCCGCCTCCTCCCGCATCGGCTTCGGTGCCTCCGGCTGCCTCCATGGTGTTTGCACCCCAGGCAGCCTCCTCGATGGGATCGTCTTCGCCACCGCCGTTTCACTTCGGTCATCTCATCACCATCAAGCTCTCCGCAGACAACTACATCTTCTGGCGTGCGCAGGTTCTCCCGCTCTTGGGGAGTCACTACCTGCTAGGCTACGTCGACGGATCGCTTCCCTGCCCACCCGCGCTGGTAGACAGCGTGCACGGTCCGGTCTACAATCCGGCCCATCGCGTCTGGACGGGGCAGGACCAGGCGAACCTCTCCTCCATCCAGGGGTCGCTCTCGCCAGCAGTTGCCGGCCTTGTTGTCTTCGCGAAGACGTCTCATGAGGCCTGGACCATCCTTGAGTGCACCTTTGCAGTGCAGTCCCAGGCTCGTGTCTCTGCACTCCGTCGTCAGCTTGGAGAGTGTCAGAAGCTTGACTCCACGGCCACTGAGTTCTACAACAAGGTCAAGGGCCTTGCCGACACATTGGCCTCCATTGGACAGCCCCTCACCGACTCCGAGTTCAACTCATTTATTGTCAATGGTCTTGATGAGGAGTATGATGCCTTAGTCGAGATCATCAACGAGCGGGGTAACTCGACACCCATGTTGGCACACGAGGTTTTCTCTCGGCTTCTTCTCACTGAGCAACGGGTCGAGACTCGCCGCACCAGGGGCACTGGCTCTCTCTCGGCCAACGTCGCCACCAAGGGTGGCCGCTCTTCTTCATCACCCCGGTCTCCCTTGGGGCTGCCACCGTCGCCCGCCTCGGCCCCCCCACCTACTGCGACCTTACCGGGGGCTGGCGGTCCACGTGTGTGTCAGCTTTGTGGCCGCGATGGGCACTGGGCCTCCAAGTGTCATAAGCGCTTCCAGCGAAGCTTTCTTGGTCTTGGCAATGACGGCAAAGATACACGCAACAATGCCCGTCAGGTCGCCATGGCTGATCGTCCCGCGCCGCAGAAGCACCAGGGACACACTCAGTCCTACTCCATCGATCCACACTGGTACATGGACTCTGGGGTGACAGAGCATCTGACCAGCGAGATGGGGAAGCTTCACACTCGTGAACCCTATCATGGCTCCGACAAGATCCACACCGCCAATGGAGCAGGTATGCACATCTCTCATATTGGTCAAGCATCTCTTCTCACTAGACATGCCAATAGGAGTCTTCAGCTTCGCAATGTTCTTCGCGTTCCATCTGTGACCCGCAATCTTCTTTCAGTTCCTAAACTCACACGTGATAATAATGTGCTTTGTGAATTTCACCCTTTTGATCTTTTTATTAAGGATCGGGGCACGAGGGACATTCTTCTTAGTGGGCGGTTGTGCCAGGGCCTCTACCGTCTGGAGCATCCTGGCGTCGCTCGCGTTTTCAGTGGAGTTCGAGTCTCTCCGTCACAGTGGCATGCTCGTCTTGGTCACCCGGCCACACCTATTGTCCGTCATATTTTGCGTCGTCATGAGCTTCCTAGTTTGTCTAGTAATAAAGATGTAGCAGTGTGTGATGCTTGTCAGCAGGGGAAGAGTCATCAACTTCCTTTTTCGGAGTCCAGTCGTGAGGTGAAACATCCGTTAGAACTTGTGTTTTCAGATGTATGGGGTCCTGCTCAGACTTCTGTCAGTGGTCATAATTACTATATCAGTTTCGTTGATGCTTATAGTCGCTTTACCTGGCTTTACCTTATTAAACGCAAATCTGATGTGTTTGATATTTTTGTTCAGTTTCAAAAACATGTTGAACGTCTTCTCAAGCACAAAATTGTTCATGTCCAGTCGGACTGGGGGACGAGTATCGCAACCTCAACTCCTTCTTTCAATCGCTTGGGATAGCTCATCGTTTAGCATGTCCACATACACATCAGCAGAATGGTTCAGTCGAACGTAAGCATCGTCATATTGTTGAAGCTGGTCTTACTCTTTTGGCCCATGCATCTGTTCCGTTTCGGTTTTGGAGTGATGCTTTCACCATTGCATGCTTTCTCATCAACCGTACTCCTACTCGTGTTTTAAACATGAAGACTCCCATTGAGGTTCTCCTTAATGAACAACCTGATTATACCTTTCTCAAGGTATTTGGGTGTGCTTGCTGGCCGCATCTTCGTCCATATAACAAGCGCAAGCTTGAGTTTCGTTCTAAGAAGTGTGTTTTCCTTGGCTATAGCTCTCTTCATAAAGGTTACAAATGTCTTCATGTTCCCACTAATCGTGTCTATATATCTCGGGACGTCGTGTTTGATGAGCATGTTTTTCCCTTTGCCAACCTTCCTGTGTCCACTGTCGAACCACCATCCCTGCATTCATCCTCTGTTGCTTCTGACCAATTTGATGATGTTGCATACTCTCCTTTGCTGTTACCTAACCATGGTGCAGGAACCGGACGTGGAGCTCGTTTGGAGCTGTTGGAGGATTCACCATCATCATCGTCGTCTTCTGGTGGGCACGTCGATCGCCCTATGTTGCATGGCATCGATTCGCGTGCCCATGCATGGTCACCCGACGAGCCCGTCGCGCCGAGCATCTCCACTGCTCAGTCTGCTACGCCAGTGATCGCCGAGTCTCCAACGGTTCGGCCTTTTTCACCAGCGGCCGCCGAGTCGCCCGTGGCTCGGCCCGTCACGCCGTCTTCGCCCGCGGCTCGGGTCCTCACGTCGCCTTCATCAGCGGATCGGCCCGCGACACCGGCCGCGCCACGGCCCACTATGCTGAGCTCGCCATCGGCCCGGTCTGGGATGCCGGAGTCGCCAGCTGCTTCGTCTGCTCTGCCGGTTTCGCTGGTGGGCCGGCCTTCTTCGCCGACTGAGTCCGAGGCTACCGTGCCTGGCTCCTCATCACCGGCTGACTCATCAACATCGCCGTCCTCCAGCCCGTTGCAGGCTGCTCCGTCGACCTCGGTGGTTCCTGTGTCTCGACCACATACACGCAGTCGCAGTGGCATTTTCAAACCTAAGGAACGCACGGATGGTACGGTTACTTGGTTGGCTGCTTGTTTGGCTGCTGCTGTTGCGGATCCATCTTCTGAGCCTCGCTCATATCAGGCTGCCCTGCGCATTCCACATTGGCGAGAGGCTATGGAGCAGGAGTTTCATGCTCTTCTTCGTAACAAGACATGGACTCTCGTTCCTCCACCACCACGGGTAAATGTTATTGACTCAAAATGGGTATTCAAAGTGAAGAAGCATTCGGATGGATCTATTGAGCGTTACAAAGCGCGACTTGTTGCTCGCGGTTTTCGGCAGCGTCATGGTCTTGACTATGAGGACACCTTCAGTCCTGTCGTCAAGCCTACCACTATTCGGCTTCTTCTCTCCATTGCTGTTTCTCGTGGTTGGTCACTTCGTCAACTTGATGTGCAGAATGCCTTTCTACATGGATTTTTGGAGGAAGAGGTTTATATGAAACAGCCGCCTGGTTTCTCTGATCCTAATCGTCCTGACTATATCTGTCGTCTTTCCAAAGCACTATATGGTTTGAAGCAAGCTCCTCGTGCCTGGCATGCCCGCCTTGCCTCTGCCCTTCGTGCTCATGTGTTTGTGCCGTCCACTGCTGACACTTCATTATTTCTTCTACAGAAGCCAGAAGTCACTATGTATCTTTTGGTATATGTCGATGATATTATCCTTGTCAGCTCTTCTCAGTATGCTGCTGATGCTCTTGTCTGCTCTCTTGGTGCTGATTTTGCGGTCAAAGATCTTGGGAAGCTTCACTACTTTCTTGGAGTTGAGGTCACTTCTCGTGCTACTGGTCTTGTCCTTACGCAGAAGAAGTATTCCTTGGAGTTGTTACAAAAAGCCGGCATGCTGAAGTGCAAACCGACCACCACACCCATGTCGTCTACCGACAAGATAACAGCTGTTGATGGTGAGCTTTTGTCTCCTGCGGATGCCACAGAGTACAGAAGCATTGTTGGTGGACTTCAGTACTTGACGATCACGAGACCAGATATCTCTTATGCTGTTAACAGGGTTTGTCAGTATCTTCAGGCTCCCAGAGATACTCATTGGGCTGCTGTTAAACGCATTCTTCGTTATGTTCAGTTCACTCTGACTTTTGGTATGCATATTCGGCCGACTTCCTCTCGGGTCCTTTCGGCCTTCTCTGATGCAGATTGGGCTGGTAGCCCAGATGACAGGCGATCCACGGGGGGTTATGCAGTATTCTTTGGCTCTAATTTGATCGCCTGGAGTGCTCAGAAACAGGCTACTGTGTCACGTAGCAGTACTGAAGCTGAGTACAAGGCTGTGGCTAATGCTACTGCAGAGATTATTTGGGTGCAGTCTTTGCTTCAGGAGTTGGGTTTGTCTCAACCACAACCTCCTATTCTTTGGTGTGATAACATCGGTGCTACATACCTTTCTGCAAATCCAGTATTTCATGCCCGAACGAAACACATTGAAGTTGACTATCACTTTGTACGGGAACGTGTATCACAGAAGCAACTCCAGATCAAGTTTATCTCGTCTAAGGATCAACTTGCAGACATCTTCACTAAGCCTTTACCACTGCCACAGTTTGAGGCTTGTAGGCGCAATCTTACCCTTCTCAGTTCTTTAGAAAGTGGCTAAGATTGAGGGAGGGTGTTAGACTATGTATAACTTCTGTACCTATGTACGTATTGTAACACAACCATTATATATAATGAGATAAGCCACCCCTAGAGGGTTGTGCTGGTTCCCAAAACTTATTGTCTTACAAGTAGCTAGAATCAAAGACGAGATGACGCTATGGTGTCTGGCCGGTGCGAAACATTTGTGTAATATCATGCCACGAGAGTGATACGTTGTATTTGGCCTTTGGCCAAGACCCCTAATACTCCTTATTCAATGAAAATGGCAAATCTTTTGCCTTGTTTCAATATATGTACGGTGGTCTGATGTTTAACATAGCAATCTAATGTGGCATGAGTTTGCTGCTTGATTTCGATCGAGTTCATATGTGGACGAAATGTTGCTAACATGGATCAGACACAATTGTACAACATTAATCAGTAATCATGTGATCTGTAGCACTTAAAATGGATAGGGCAATAGAGCAACCATTAGTGAGAGAAGATGAACAGGGGAGGGGTTGGGGGGTGGGTGCAAAATGATCGAATTTGCTCATTGGTCCCAACGGTAGGATCACGGGATCAAGCAACAGATCGATGGACGGAGCGGGGCGCACCTGCGGCTGAGCCTCCATGCGACGTCGCGGGACTTTCGCTTGCGCTTGTCCCGCGCGTCCTCGTGCCACCGCCGCCGCCTGACCTCGTGCATGACGCCGGCTCGCCCCACCTCCCGCGTGAACTGCCGCAGCAGATCTCCCCCGTCCACGTCTTCGTCTCCCGCGTCCACCTTCGCGTTGTGGTACTTGGGGTTGGCCGCCGGCGCCCACGGCGAGGTGGGGGCGGAGGCGGAGACCGAGAGGGAGAGGGCGACGGTAGGAGGAGATCCAAGCGGGAAGGAGGCGACCGTGGTCCGCGATCCATCGTGGAGGAGATAAGGCGGTGCTAGCGATGAGAAGAAGGACCGTGCGGCGGCCGTGGTTGGCATGGTGGTAGACAGGTGGCGCTCGCCGGCGACGGACGGGAACAGGGTGGTGGGCTTTGGGGTTTCGGCCGGATCAAGAAAGTAGCAGAAAGCTGCTACTACTACAGTTGGGCTTACATTTGTTTTTTCTTAGAACAACTCAAATTGGGCTTACATGGCAGGCCACCGGAAACAGCAAAGCTAATCTGCAGCCTCAGAAAAAAAAAGTGCATACTGTCGGTAACACCAAAGTTGGGGCTTTGTCTAAAAAAAAAGAAAAAAAAAAGGAAAAAACCAAAGTTGGGGCTATTGCTAAAAGAAGGACCCCGATATCTCTCGAACATTTAGTTTGAGAGCTCTCCAGACGAATCGTTCGCTCGGAATGATCGAACGAAATGAAAGAAAGCGGTCAATGTGGGAGGGAGCCCAGATCGAACGATTTCTCCTGACCTAAGGGCATCTCCAGCCGTTCGGCCCTCCAGAAGGCATTTTTTTCGTCTTTTGAGGGACTGCCGGCGACAACTTTGGCGTGGGGGCGAGAATTTTTCCACTCGTTCCGCCCCCAGGAGGTGAGAAGCGGGGGCCGACAAGGAGGGAGGAGAAGGACCGGCGTGCACCTCCCCTGCCTGGCCGCCGCGCGCGCCCCGCCTTGGCCGCTGCGCGCGCCTCTGGCCTGGTGTTGCTGTCTGCGCGCGCCCCTGCCTCGCTCCCAGGCCACGCCCGTCCGCGCCCTCCCGCGCCCAGGCCGCGCCCATCCGCGTCCAGGCCTCGCCGGCCGCGCGGCCGCATCCCAGCCTCGACTCGGCGTCGCCGTGCAGGAGGCCCGTCTCGCCACGCTCGGGGCCAGGGCTGCCCATGCAGCTCGAGGCCCGGCTCCTCCTCCGCCGCGGGAGGATCCACCGCGTTGCCGTGCGCGGGCGCGGAACACGGGCGCAGGCGGGCGCGGCGAGCACGGCGTGGGCGCGTACGGCGTGTGGCGGCTGGACGACGACGGCTTCGAGGCGAGCGGGGACTGTCCCCCGCGGCGCGAGGAGGAGGAGGCGGGCGACGGGGACGGGAGCACCTCGATGAGCGGACGGGGCCGGACTCGGCGCCGCTGCTAGAGCCGGACAGGGCGATGGTGAGGTACAGCGCCGGCGCGCGCACCACGGTGTCCCGCGAGGTCTCGGACGAGCGGAGACGTGGCGTCCTCCCCGCGAGCTCCGTCGCGCGCCCCGTCCTTCCTCCTCCGCCATGGCCGTCGGGGGCACGAAGACGTCGACGCCACCCTCCTCCTCATCCGGCTCTTCCTCGTCGGCGGGTGCTTCTTAGGCAGGGGCAGGAACTCCCGTGGCCGCGCGCGCCCGTGGTCGCCCCGGCCTTGCCTGCTCCAGCCACGATCCCGCCTCGCCAGCTCCGACCAGCGCCTGCCCCGGCCAGCGCCCGCCCCGGCCGCGCACGGCGAGCTCCTGCCTCGCACGCCCGTAGTACATGGAGAGTAGAACCGGGGAGAGAGGAAGTGTGGGCGTGGAGAGGAGAGAGGGAGTGTGCTGCACGTGGGTGGGCCTGGAGAAGAGAAAGGGGGAGAGAGAGGCTGGCAAGTGGGGTAGCGCCTGCAAAAAGCTAATGCCGGCGTCCCCAGCTGCCCCCCGGTGGGCTGGGTGCGGGGTGAGCGTGCCGGCGCTAACTTTTGCTAAATCCGACGCAAAACGACGTCTTGGGACCCTGACTGGGGCGTTTTTTACTCGCCGGCGTCCAAAAAAGCGCCTGGGAGGGCTTCTTGGGGGCCTTAGTGGAGATGCCCTAACTAGGCAGCCTAAAACTAAAAAATGACAGCGACAACCCAGTTTGAGTGCCGTTGTACTAAAAAAAAATCCCAAAAACCAAGAAGAAAGAATGACGAAAACAGAAAAACCTTGCAAAAAAGAGAAAGGCTTTCAAATATAGAATTCAAAAAAAAAATCTAGAAATTCATATGTAAGAAAAAATAGCTAAAGGGGGGAATATAAGAAATGTCATGGATTAGCTAATAAAAAAAATGACCATAAACTAAATTTTCCATTGTCCCTAAAAAAAGCAATTTTGCCATGTTGGAAGAAAGGACGAGATTTGCCATGGTCCTAAAAACACACATTAGTGGCAAAAAATGAATAAGTTAACCATGGTGACAAAAGTGAGGTAAGCTTGCCGTGATGCATATGTGATGCTTGCCGTGATGGCTAGCGAAAAGGACATGAAAAGCAAAAAAAAAATGCGAAAGTTTGTGATGATGACCAAATTTAGTGTAAACAATGATGGAAAAATCACCATGCTACATACAAAACCAATTCCCACGATGCTCGAAAATAAGAAAGCACAAAACTAAATTGCCATGGTTCAAAAAGAGAGAATAGTGTCATGAGAAGAATAAAAATTTCCATGATCATAAAACTAAAATTGCCATGATCTACAAACTAAAATTGCCATGGTCAATTACTAAAATTCCTGTGATCCATAACCTAAATTTGTCATGATACATACATTGGTTTTGCCATGGTTATAAATAAATGCCATGGTCAATAACACGGTCAATAACTGAATTTGTCATGATCTATAAACTAAATTGCCATGATTTTTTTTCTTGCCATGGTCAACTAATAAAAAATTGCCATGGCAAATTGCTTCTATGATACCATATGTTTTTTTTGAAACTTTACCATATGAATTTGCCAACAATATCATTTGCACATGGAAAAATAACAGGGAAAAAATTCTCTTGACAAATGGCAACTATATGAATTTTGTTCCAAAAGAAAATGTGGATGGGACATGGCAATTGTAGTAACATTTTGGAAGTGGTCAATTACCCCCTTCGGTCCTTTTTAGTTCGCATATAAAATTTGTCTGAAGTCAAACCTCGTACAGTTTGACCAAATTTATAGAGAAAAAAACCGAACATTCACAATGTGAAATCATTACCATTAGATGCGCCATGACTTAAATTTTCATATTGTATAACTTTAGCATTGTAAATATTGATATTTTTTCATATAAATATGATCAACCTTTCCAAAGTTTGACTTCAAACAATTCTTATATGCAAAGTAAAAAGGACCGGAGGGAGTACTAAAGATCCCGTGATCCATAACCTAAATTTTCCATGATACATAAATTGTTTTGCCATGGCCAGTTGCAAAAATTGCCATGGTCAATTACTACAATTTGTGGATCCATAAACTAAATTTGCCATGATCCGTATATTCTCTTGCCATGATTCAACTACCAAATTTGCATGATAAAATTATTGAAAATGTAGTATAAAAATTAAAAAGAGCCCATGGAAGAAAACTTTGTCATGGTTAGTTGATAGCTAGCAAGCAATTTTTCAATGTAATGAACAAAAGGAGCTCTTGCAAAAAAACAAGTTTAAGATGCCATGGCAAAAACATGTTTAAAAAATTTCATCGTGGCATGTCTATACATATATTATGAAACTAGAGGGTGTCATGGCAAAAGGATCTTAGAATTTTTGCCATGGTAATTTATAAGCAGCTAATGGAGGTGCCATGGCAAAAACATATTCAAGTTTGCCATGTCAATTGTATGGATGTATTTGAAAACTTGAACTACGCATGTTTTAATTGTAGTTTGAACACCATAGCAACCTAGATTCATCAAAAAGTGTCACCACAAAAATAAGGGGTGGATATTGATAGCATGAACTAAAAATTGGCATGGACTGCAAAAGATTTCATCTCAATTTGCGCATAAGCGTATCAAAGGACAAAAAGGATGAATAAACACATGTGTAGAGAGGGCAGTGGATGAATTCCATGAGGCAGACCTCCCCGGCGCCGGTGGCTTGCAGCGCGTGCGCATATGCCCTCTCAACTATCGCGCCTGATAGCAGCCGACACGTTGGCTGACACGTGGTCCGCGTGTGCCCGGCGGCAGGAACACGTGCCACAACGACACCAGCTGCTATGGCACCCCGAATGGCGCGTAGCAGACCGCTGCTCGGACGCGGAAGGCGCCCCGCCGTCAAACAACACCTGCCATAGGATCAGCCCAGCCATGCAGCGCTGCAGGCGTGTGCGACATGGTGGGCGGCTTATCCGAGGATTCCACACTCCTCTGTCAAGGATCCTATCTGCCGTTGATACGTCTCCAACATATCTATAATTTTTTTATTGTTCCATGCTATTATATTATTAATCTTGGATACTGTATATGCATTTTTATACTGTTTTATATCATTTTTGGAACTAACCTGTTAACCCACACTGGTACATGTCGGTGCTATACAAACGGTTTTAACCCCTTTCCGTGACGGCATTTGGGACCGTCGCCAAGTGAGTGTGTGCGATAGGGTGTCCTTCCCACACGACCTAGAAACCGTCGGGGATATGGAGCAGTGGTCCAGAGGCGTTCCAAAATGTAATCGTGTGCGATACATCACACACTAATTTTTTCCGCACGTGTGGTATCGGTGATTAAGCGTTTCTAATGACGCAGTGAAACCATACGGTCTGTCGTAATGAACCGTTTGAGAAATAGTATGTAAGGCACATGGGCCAACATATGAACTGTGTGTGATTTGTGCCCCATCGCACACGAGTTTTCTGCGTAACCCGTCTACCATGCTAGACTCCATCGCATACGTTTGCCAACAATTACCATCTGCGATAATGTTCTATCATAAACGGTTCAGTAGCCCCTTTGCACACATACAAGTGCTGCAGACCGTTTGTGATTTGTTGGGTATCACTGACGGTTACCGCAAGAGTGACGTGTGCTTTTCGTTTGGGATCTCACACTTTTCCTGAAAAAATTACGATTGAGATTGTGTTTTACATTGGGCACGGTTTACTCCTAGTTCTCGTGTGCGATAACGCGATATCACAAACGGTTTCGGAGACCCTACGCACACGTAGTAGCGCAACAAATCGTCTGCGATCTGCTGTGTATCACCGACGGTTCCGCTACGATTGACGTATGCTTTCCGATGTGGATCGCACACACTTATTTAGTTGAACTGTGTGCGGAGCTATTGCCAGGTTAAAACA